AAAAACTAAAAAAATACAAATACTCTATTATTATCTGTTAAATTTAAAATTTATATAGAATTTAGACGTTACAATGAAATATTTTCAGCACTCCTTATCAAAATATAATAGATAATAATATATATTTGAAGTAAATAATATAAGGTTATAATTATTATAATATCAAATCTTATATTTTAGAAGTTTTTGATGATATATCATATATTTTTATATTAACATTCCTAGCACTATACATTTTAGCACTTGGCATTAAAGACTATCATCAAAAAACAATTTGGTAAAACGTCATCACATGTAGCAATTATACACTGATTAAGAATAACTAAATTAAACTCAAATGCTTTTACTTTATCACATTGTTTTAATATGATTGTACTACTGTCTTTAAAAATGAATTCAAGATTTTTAAATCACTGTACAACAAATAATTATCATAAACTCAAAATAAATTAAATTATAAAGCATTTATTTCAAAATAACTACTAAAAGATAACATTTTAACAAACCAAATGAAGTAAAAATATGAACTTTTGTGATGTTAAAACATTGAATAAAATAAAAATACACCCATGCTTGTTTTAATACATAACAAATGTAAAAAATATATATATGATGATTTATATCAAAGTATGAATAAAACCTATGGCTAAGATTTATCATTAAAATTAATTTCAGAAATCAATGTTATTATTATTATATAAAATTAGTAAAAAGATCTATCAATTAAATTACTCAAGAATTTGAGTAATTATTGTGGTTTAATAAATAAATGTTTATAACTATAACTTAAAATAATGATTCATGAATAAATTAAAAATATCAATATTAAATTTATTATTTTCATTTTACTTACCAAGGAAACATCATAGACATTGATTTAAAATAAAATATGGTTCTTAAGAAGTCTATTCAGACCTATCTATGACAGTCTTGAGAAAGGGTACATTATGAAAGTTAAATTAATCTTGTTTTTCTTACAATTGTAATAATACCAATTTTTTAGTTTAAATAAMGTAAATACAACCAAAATTAGCTATATATACACAATTAGGTATTAGTCCAATTGTTGAACTCTAATGTGCTGAAGTTTTTCACAAGTAAGATGGAACAAAAAAAAAATAAAAATAATAATAAACATTTCTTTACAATTAATATCTACAATTCATCTTTAGGCTTCTCACGTTCTTCTTCTTCTTCTCCTTCTTCACTCTATAAAATAAAATGGAAATGTATTAATTTCAAATAATTACTATTTAAAGTGAAGATTTAAAAGTAGGCTTAAATCATTAGCCCAAACATTAAATTACAGAAAATTATAACATTAATTTATTAAACATTTATTATACTAATATTTTGTGGTCCAGCAGCCAATATTTATTGGGAATTAGGCCAAATATTTCCTTAAGTTTGTACTTAGCATTTTTTCTATTACATGTTTAATATTTAACAGACTGACGACTGTTGCAGGGATCACAGAATAGTTTTAGATTCTGAGCGGAGCGAGGAATGTTTTGATTTTACCATGATGGGTTTTTTTTTATGTGTCTGTCATTACGTTTTGGGACAGTAAAAGTGCTTCAATTTTCAACTACAGTACCTCGTACTTAAGTTCAACTATTTATAGGCATATGCAATTTTTGATCATTATTAGTTTTTTTGAAATTAATATCGATAAAAATGTATTTGTTGGGTAGAAAAGCTTGAAAATTKAATACAAGGCTCTTAACATATTGTTACAATAGCAGTTGAAAAATAAAATAAATTCATTGTCATCATTTTTTTTATAAGCATTCAAAGTTTGAATTTTAACAAAATACGTAAAAATCACAAAAATCACAAAAATTCACAAATTATTTTAAGCTAAAAATTCATAACAAATTTTCTTTTTAAATCTGATTTGAAAATTTAATACAAGATTCCTTACAAGCTTTTCAATCGTTATCACAAAAAAATATCCACCAGGAATTCAAATTACATTTTTATAAGCGTTTGAAATTTAAAGTTGTACAACATTGGATTTTCACTAGATTTCTTATTTAGCCATTTTCTTATTTTGATGTAACTCTAACACAAATGACTGCAGATACTTGACAATTTCACTAAATATTTATA